TTCAACTCCCAGAGTTCCTCAGCCAGCTTTGCTGGCTGAGGAACTCTGGGAGTTGAAGTCCACAAGTCTTAAAGTTGCCAACGTTGGAGACCACTGATCTACATGATATACGATGATTTGTGTAGGAGCCGAGGCTGGGACAGAATAGTTTATTTGAGATCAGAATTAAAATCAGAATTCGAAGTCGCTCGGCCTCTGCCTTGACGTTTGATCCAAGGAGTAACCTCTTTGTAGGGACTCGCTGCTTGCTTCCTGCAGGCTCATTCTGCTTTACACCAAAGGCAGACAGGTAACTCCACGTTATCAAGGGCATGGCCGTCCCAAAGATGCTTTTTTCCAAGAGGCAACTGGACTTTCTTGTTTTTTTGCTTGAAAAGGTTTCACTCCTCATCCAAGAAGCTTCTTCAGTTCCGACTGAATGGTGGAGAAGGGAAGGATTTAGTATATTCCTTGCCCTGATCTGGTCGTTAGCATTCCATGGATCAGAGGACCGCGAGGGATAAACTAAACCCTTCCGTTCTCCGCCATTCAGTCAGAACTGAAGAAGCTTCTTGGATGAGAAGTGAAACCTTTTCAAAGGAAAACAAGAGAGCCCCAAGAAAGTCCAGTTGCCTTTTGGGAAAGCAGCTTTGGGACAACCGCAGTTTGGTTGATCGGGAATCTCCACAGAGTTTACTTTTTATGTTACATTGTGTGGCGGAATCGTTGGCTAAAGGAGAGACGGGAGTAAAGAGATGTGCCAATATGGAGTCACTCTGTGGGAGGAATGACATAAGCCAGTCTAGGAAAGCCCTTATCTGGTGAGATTCTTGTAAAAGAAGCGATCGACAATAAAGAAATTACTTCGGCCTATTCACCGAGTTGTTCTGGTATGTTTAATTTAATAGCTGGAATAGTAAAGTGTACAGTGGGCCAGAACACACCGTCAGAGTTGATTGGTTGGAGAGTGCGGGCTCCTGCCTGAGGCAGTCTACGTTATGATTGGTTGCAGGGAGACTCTTCACTCTGTCGTGAGGTAAATTGTGAGGTAAATCAAAGAACAGCATACAGAGCACACATTAAGAAAAAAGGTGGGGGAAAAAGGAGGAGTCCCTTCCCCCCCTCGTCCTTTTTCCTTCTGTGTGTGCCCTGTACAGTGCTCTGTGATTTACCTCACGATTTACCTTGTGTTGGAGTGATGTGCCTGACTATGCTAATATAGATGTTAAATATATTTATTTATATAGACTACAAGTTCGTATCAATGTCTATGACTTCATTTTTGGCCACTTGCTGCACAATTCCCTGATGTTATGTCTCCCTGCCCCGTCAGAGAGACTCGGGATTTATTCATTTAACCTGGTTTAAATGCCACCTGGGCCCAGAATTTCTCCCTCTTACCTGACGTTGCTTTGCACATGGGAGGCATCCTGGTTACCTTACTGTGCGCCACGAAGGTGCTTTGAGAGGAGCTACTGTATTGGGAGCTGCTGTCCGACGAAGTGGAGCTTGTGTGCGACAACCGGCTGTGGTCTTTGTGGGGGGCTGTGGAGCGCTGGTACCATAGTCTGAGCTCATCCGAGACCCCAGCCCTCCCCGATCCCTTTTCATGTCCGTCTCTACCCAACGAAGGAGTCCTTATGATCTGAGACCGGGAAGGCGTCAACCGGATGGAGTCCACTTCGTCTCCGTGCCAGTTCTCCTTAAACATGCCCCCCGCCGTGTACGAATTGGACGTTTTAAACTGTGCTTTCACGCTGTAGTGTCCCTCCTGGTCGTTTTCGAGGCTGCGCACCACCACTGGCGTCGAGCTCCCTTCGATGTACAGCGGGTATTCTTTGATCCTGTACTGGGAGGAAGGCTGGCTTTGGCTGTGCAGGTAGACGCCGTGATGGCCGTTCCCGTTCCCAGCAGCCAGGTTGGGCATACTTCCCGAATTGGAGCAGACGAGATTTCCGGCCGACTTGTGCCGCTGCCTTTGGCGCTCGCGAGCTTTGGAGGGAGAGTCCTCCGCCAGGGTGGAATAATTTGCATTCATCTGAGCCGGGTAGTAATGCTCGGAGCTGGAGTGGCTCGTACAGGAGGAGCAGTCATCCATGGGGTCCGACCCATTACTGCTACGAGTCCTTGGGGTGTAGAAGTCAGGGCTCCCCGTCTCGTTTTCCGAGCCGAGAAGCTTCCCTTGTGACTCTAAACTAGAACTCCGGTGTCTAAAGTGCTGAACTAAACAATGCAGTCTCGTAGGGCTAATGTCCACCGATCTGTAAGGCCAGAGAAACAGAAAGGCGGAAAACAAATTAAAATTTTAAACATCGCTACAAAGGGATTTCTCTCGGTGGAAATTAGCCTTTGGGATAATTACAGCATATAGCAATAGACTTATGTACCGCTTCACAGAGCTTCACAGCCCTCTCTAAGCGGTTTGCAGAGTCAGCCTCTTGCCCTCCAACAATCTGGGTCCTCATTTCACCCACCTCAGAAGGACGGAAGGCTTGAGCCGGTCAGGATCGAACTCCTGGCAGTCAGCAGAGTTGGCCTGCAATACTGCAGTCTAATCACTGTGCAACACCACTTCCTTAGCACTTAGCACTTAAGACTTACACACCACCTCGCAGCCCTCTCTAAGCGGTTTGCAGAGTCAGCCTCTTGCCCTCCAACAATCTGGGTCCTCATTTCACCCACCTCAGAAGGACGGAAGGCTTGAGCCGGTCAGGATCGAACTCCTGNGAGAGGGCTGAAAGCCCTATGAAGCGGTATATAAGTCTAACTGCTATAACTATAACTATAATCGCGCTTTTGTGGGTGTGGTTTTGTCAGTGCGCTTTAGTGGGCGCGCTTTCGACTTCGCTGTTTTGTCGACGCGCATTTGTCGGACGCGCATTTGTCGGGTCATGATTTCTGAGGTGATTATTGTATATAAGATTCCATATTTTATACTTACAACTGTATCCATATTCATACATACATACATTCAAATCAAATAAAGTCCCCATAATAACAGACGTTATGTAGGTATGCTGACATATTTTGTGTTGCAATCTGTTAATAGCAGTACAGGCAAATAGATATTTTGGATAGTTATATGGAGTATTCTTTTATTATTTTGGTGGCATTATCCAATAAATGAGTCTAAAGTGGCTAATGGGAATCTTCAAAAGGTTTAGGACAGAGTCCTTTTTACTGTTTTAAAAGATTGTGGAAGGCTATATTAAGCCAATCAGAAGTCTAATTTCCCTGTTTTATTACTTTGCAGGGGGGCAGGGGAATTTGAAGTCAACTTCTGAAGACATAATCTTGGATTTCATGACTACCCCCTCAAAAAAGTGGTCATGGTTCTTCACTTCTGTGCTAGAAACATTGGTGGAAAAAAATGTGGTGACAACAGGTGTTTGTTGTGTATATGCCATTGTCTGCTTCCATGGATAGACAATGTTGAAAATTTGTTAATGAAAGTATTGCAAATGTGAAACAAATCTTGCTGTATGCAAAACTAGTGGAATCTGAAAAAATTGGATTAAAAAAGAGAAGGCATTTAAAGTGGAAATGCGAGTGACAGGCCAAGAGAATGAACTGGATAAGGTCTTTACTGGTTATACAAAAGAAGCAGGCTGATCTGGATAATGTCTTTTTATTAGACTTACAAAAGAGGCTTGTTGAAGCCTCAAAGAAACCTAAGCAATGTGGCAAAGAAAAATGGAAGAATCGTCAAATATTTGCATGAACTAAAGGTATTCAGAGATAAAAGAGAGGAATATAAATTTCGTCTAGTTGATCAAGACGTGTTTTCATGAATTTCTGACAACACACTATGGACATTTTGATGACATCCGAATTGAAAAGTTGATGTCTTATGGATTTGATTATAGATACAGGTTTTTGAAAGAATGAGACATCTGTTTGTAACCTTATAGGGGCAGAATTACAAAATTTGTTTAGATCTACTTGTTGTATAAGTAGTTCTTGACTTACAGTTGAACCCAAAATTTCCATTGCTAAGCAAGACAGTTGTTAAATAAGTTGTCCCCCATTTGCCACAGTTGTTAAATAGCAATAGCAATAGCAGTTAGACTTATATACCGCTTCATAGGGCTTCCAGCCCTCTCTAAGCGGTTTACAGAGTCAGCATATTG